AGAGAGAGAGAGAGGGGGGGGGGGGGAAGAGACAGAGGAGCAAAGAGTAAGAGAAGAGAGCGAGGATAAAAGCGTCTCCTCGCATAAAAGGAGACGCTTGAAACGTCGCGCAAAAAGGAAATAATGAATTCGTACCGACGAAAAGCGAGACGAGATACGGGAGTGGCGAGCTTTCGTTTAGATTACGTTTTCCGCCTCTTTTTCACGAATTTAATCGGTAAACAGCCTTAAGGCTCCCGAGAGAGGAAAGGAGCACGTAAGAGTGGCTAATAGGTTGTAAGATCTCGAGTTCAGTTAGATAGTAGCTCTAGGTTGGTAGGATGGATGCAACGTAGGTAGGTAGGTAGGTAGAGGTACCTACAGAAAGGAAAATATAAAGGATTTACCAGGATTGAAATTATAGAAGATACCAAGATACAAAGAGCAAGTGCATCGTGAAAGTCTTGATAAATGCACGGCTTACGACTGGTATCAAAAAGGAGTGAAGAGAGGAGGAGGAAGAAAAAATATGAAAACACGTGGAAGGCACTTTTTCAACATTTTACAGAATTCAGAGCGAGTAGCCAAGCTCGGATTCCCCAACGGAGTCAGAGATGCTTTCAGCCACTTGGCGAATCCCTAATGAAATTATACCAGCCGTATTTCTCAGGGCGATGAGGCAATTTCCAATAGGCGACGTCTTCGTGTATACATCTGCGTCTGGTAGCACTACTTGATCCAGGAACATGACGCGGCAAACCAACCAGAGATATATAGTGCGTACACGATCCCCCGCGACTGGGATCCTTCGGTTCCCTGGTTCACGATAGCTTCTAAATATACGTACGAATATAGTGAGAGAGGTATCCGGGCACCCCAATCTAGAACGTACACTGTATACTAGGCACGGGTGTGCATTCAGAATTATTGGAAAAGCAGAGCAACTCGCTTCTAACATTTTGGGTCCAGGTCTGTTCAGGGTCGTTCCAGGTCTCATTTACCTTCGAAAACCCCCGGGACAGGTGGAAGGGGAAAGGAGACTACGCTCGCGGAATAATTTCGGCAAATTACGCTGGAGGATGAGTAATTTTCCAGCGTCAACCAGCGGCAGAACGGTTTACCCCCTGAGGCCGACGTTGTCTCCCTGGCTAGAAGGTAAATCGATTTTTGAAGGACGTGTCTCTGCCGTATTCCATACTTGCGCGTCTACCAATTCAAAATCATTAAAAAATCTATCAACCATCTACGGAAAGTATCCTTCGAGTTGAGTTTCGTAAAACAATGTAAGTCAGAGACTAAATTCACATATGACGATATATGAATATAAAATAATATTTAAATGCCATAGGATATCATATGTTTATATAAGAGTATACTCTTATACAAATTCACCACGTGTGTATGGGGAATTGTGAGAACCGGATAAGCGGTGCAGCAGCACATTCGTTACGGACGCACGCCTCCTGTCAGGGTCTCCTTCATTCGTGCAGATACCTCTACCGCGACGACCTTGCACGAGCCAGAGAGAAGTCTCACGTAAAACAAGGAAACCACGTTACATGGAGGTACTCCCTAAGCTAATCCAGGTAAAATCTAAATGATCTTTCCATGAGGCACTCCGCACTTCGGATGAGTCAGCTAGGACCTTTACCAAGGAAGATTCACGCTACCATTCTGGCACACGTCGATAGAGCCTACGTATCCCATTACGTATCTAAGAGATATCCAGGTAGGTAAGTAGCAATCGCATAGAAAGGATCTCAGTTACGCCACGTAACTCTGATCCATGATTACTCAAATGCTAAAGAAGATACTCGTACCTCCTCTTCGGTTTAATAAACGACCATTTATAATGTGAAGGATGCCTGTCGCCAAGATGTAACCGGTTCCCAGATGCGGTTCAATAAGACCCAAGTGAAGTGGTAAGCTAGAGGATGGTAGCGGTTGAAGTAAAAGTGGCACTCGGAGAAAAAGAAAAGAAAAAGAGAAAGGAGAAACGAATTTTTGCATAAAAGAAAAATCAGTGGGAAAGGTTGAGAAATCAAATGCAAGCTAGAAGGTGGATGGCACAGAAGGCAAAAGGTTATAAGTGCCAGAAGAGTCCTAGGCCCACTCAGGTAGCTAACTCAATATCGCTGAGCGCTAAAGTTTCCCCGCTTTAGGTACAGATATACTTATGTACGTGACCGAGCGTTAGTTTCCGTCGAACTAGTTCACGGGCAAAGGGAGGGAACACGTTCACACGTTACAGAGACCTTCGTATACTAACTACTTGTGTATCTTCATAGTCTGGAGAAAACGTCCTGACTGTGCAAAACGTCAAGGGGGCTACGATATAAAGGAGCGAGACAGAAGATATAACACAAAAAGCATATGAAAGAGACGTATGAATACCTGGTGGTAATATCTACAGTAGTAACTAGTATAACATCCTGCCTAGGGGACTCATTTATTTAAAGAATCATAGGAAGATGGCCCCGCTAAAGCTATTTTACTCGGGGACGTGCATAAGTCGTACAGAGAAATTAACCCGCGCAACTGCGTATTTATACGATTAAAATAAGATATTTGTGCCAAGGATGCTCGTTGTTAATGCAGCTACGTAGTTCTTTCACGGTGAAGCCAGGTAAAAAGGTCAACCGAGACTAAGACATGACGTTGAACCTTTGATTTATATGTATATATGAATCTTCGATTTATATATATATGTATAAGTATATATGTACATAAAGTGCAATTTAGGTAGACTAGGAGTTTACAAGGAGTAACTAAGATATCGTTGGTCCTCTTACCTGTGAACGACGTTGGCAAGGAGATCGTTGTGCCTTAATCTATAATCCACATCGACCCTCTGGTAATTGACAGTGAGCGTACCAGCCCGGATGCATCTCTCGTATTCCTCGGCAGGATGAGCGCGAAATTCCCTTGCGAAAACTTCGAGTATCTTCTCACCGACCCATCGACCCTTCGTGAAGGTCGTGAAGGTAAAGTAATAAGGGTATACTTTGCGTAGACCTGAAACAATGAGGTAGTACGTGTATAAGTAGGTTATGTAACCAGGTACGCGTACATATAAGTATTAGGTGGGCTGTCGGGTACTAAGGTGAGATGAGCTAATACGTCAGTCCGATGAGAATGGGTTCTTGAGCAACCTCACAGAGGAAGACGCAGAGGCGTCGTGCCTCAGGTAAGCCAACTCTTGGAATAGTAATCCCTATGAGAAGGAGGCTTAGGAATCAAGAATCAGGATTTCGCGGACAGACTGGAGTATGGCGCTTCGCAATAGACAAAGAGAGAGAGAGAGAGAGAGAGAGAGAGAGAGAGAGAGAGAGAGAGAGAGAGAGAGAGAGAGTCCGTGAAGTGAGCTGAAACACTCCAGTGAACTCTCACACCCTCCTTTCGAGCTCCGCAAGGTTCTCCAGAGACTTAGAAGACAATGTCATCCTCGTCGTCGAAGTTAAGCCTCTCCTGGGAAACTTTGCTCCGTTCCTCCTCGTGTCCAAGAGCATCCTCGCGGATGAGGCCTGAGCATCCCTCTTCTTCCAGGGTTTCCTACAAATTCGCCGCTACGTTCACTACCAACCTCGGCAGGAACACCGAAAACCCATGTGGCTCTGAAACACATCGCGCACACCCAGAGGAGCCCTCGCGTGAATCCACGCAAAATCCCCGAGACGTTCGTTAAGTCTCCCAGACACCCACCACTCTTGTCACCGCCGCAACAGCCACAATGCTGATGTTTCCCAGCGACGATTCCTGCATAATTACGTCATCAGGGGTATAGCTCCTTTGTTATCCCTTCAAGACCTAACCCCTTTTCTCTCTATTATTATCGAACGATCCAAATACCAACGTAAAGGCAACCCCACGTGGTTACTCGTTCGTACGATACTAGCAAAAGCTTCTCCAGAGGCTGAAAATTTACGACTCCGCCGGAGGGGCGCTTCCACTAGGACTCTGAAGTACGTCGCGTGTCCCTCATCGTGATAGAATTTCAGTATTGACCATTCCTGACCGAAACGAACCAAAGGAGGACGTGTATAAGGAAAGCTGCCGCTACTTTGTTTATGGCCACTGCCACGTCGGGTGGCTTTACGAGTCGTAAACTAACGGCAGTTGCTTCGCATCGCTGCTTTTTATTTATTCCCTATCGATCGTCGGCAGTCTTCAGGGAAATTGTAATACGCAGGAGTGCGTTTACAGCGGAGTGAAAGGAGAAATAATGAGAGAGGGATAAAATCAGGTAAATCAGGGAGGGAGGGAGAGAAAAGAGTTGAGAGAGTTACACTCTTCCGTGAAAACACGCGTTCGATCCAATTATTTCGAATCGATCAGGAATTCCTGACGATCAATGCAAAGGGATCTCCCTATATGCCTCGAGGGCTTTCCAGTGCCGACAAGTGTTTCTGATCCACGGTGTAGATCAATACTCACTTGTCACCTGGTTATAAAGGAAAGTCCACATAAAAGCCGTCTGTGCCATTTTTTTCTTTTTAATTCACTCACCACTTGTTTTCACCTCGGTGTCCCGCTCCCTTTTTCATCCACTCTGCGCAATATTAATTTCATCCGTTCGTATCGCTCACAATTAGTCGAAACCCAAATGAACTTTATCTGTGAGAAAGAAATCTGAAGGTACGTGTCGTAAATACTTGCTATTAGTTACTACCTTGCCAGTATCTATGCTGTGCAGAAGTGGTACTGCTATTAGTATCACCAGCCAGGAATAAAGTATTCAGGACTCTTATCTCGAGGCGTGTGGTGAAAAGGCGGGAGCCCGAGATTTTACAAGTGAATTATTCAGACCACCAAGTACGTCGTAGGTATACGTACATGGCAGTGTATATATACATATATATACAAACATATAAATATGTATAAACACAAGTAGCAGTATTATACCGTACTACAGAAAGCGCGGCAGTCGCGCGCGTCCTACAGCAAGCGAAGGGAATATTCTCGAGGTGTAAATAGACGGAGGAGGTGAGGTAGAAGGGAGGTGTGTAAACGCCGTAGTAGCAGCTGGGATTTGGCATTTTTGTAAAATGCATGGAGTTCCTGGCCGTGGAATGTAATGCCGCTTGAATATTACGCTCAAGAGATCAGCCAAGGTCGTCCTTTGTTGTCCAGGTTACGCACGAATGAAATTTTATGATATCGCTCTTTTACTGTTTGATTAATTAATTACAAGTGACCTTTGCTGTGTCGTAGGAACGTTGACGTGCGTATGACGTCAGTTGATCGGATCCACTTGATATTCTGTTGTGGGTTTAGGTACTATTCAAAGAAAACATAAGATTCCCAGGGCTTCGACTGTTTGTAGGAGAATCCTGCAGTTTATGCTCGAAGTTCCGTTTGTCACTGGGAAACGTAGTGGAGTAACTCGTGAAAATATTGTCGTTGTCCCCTGCTCGGTCGGAGTTGTTTGTTACGAAGGAAAGGAAAAGCTACGCAAACTCTCCAGAAAATGAAAGAGAAGCGGGAACAGCAACAACAGGCCCAGTCGAGCCGTCGGGACGTTGCAGCTCCTTCCTGTTACTCCTGTCGCTTGAGAAAAGCCGATTTAATGCCTCGTTTACGATGGCGTTTGTCGACGACGTGAATTCGCGTGGAAGGCTTTGCTAACTTTTAGATTTACGTGTAAATGGAGCGATCTGGAGTGATGTAACGCTATGGGTTGGATAAGTATTATTGACTAATTGTAAGATTGGATTAGAAATTGGTTAAGAATTTATAGTAGGTTTTGAAAAATTATTTACGAGGATTAATATGCAATTACATACCCGGATCAAATATTTCAGGGCACGTTGAATAGATCCTGTGACGGGATAAGAAGTTTGTCAGGAGATGTATACATGTACATCTCGGAGAGACAGAGACAGAGTAGGATACCTTAAAGTTCAACTAAATTCTTTAACCCTTTAACACGATCGTTACCGCTATATGAATTATTGAGTCCTTTGAGCGCCGTGGGTTATGCTCGTGGCGGCGAAGTTGTTAAAGCATACATTTTTTCTTATGCACGTTTTTTCTTAAAACATAGCTCCTTTGGTTTTCTTTTTTTTTGGAATAACTGGTATAAGCTGAAGGTATAATTTAAAAAATTCTAAATTCAACATGGCTGATGGGAATTGCAAAAAATGGACCGATTTGTATGAAGCTCAGGACTTTTTTGTCGAATTACGAATATGAGGGTAGCTTTTAAAAATTCAAAATGGATCATCGAATATGGTGATTTGAGATTACAAAAATGGACTGATTTACATGAATCCCTAAGTACCGCATTTCACGTAAATCGGTCTAATTTTTGTACTATCTCAAAAAAATTCTGAGTCTCGAGTTTCGTTTAAATCTGACTACTTTTTGCAATTTCGATCCTTTCGGATCTGTCATACTGAATTTTGAAAAATTTGTTATTTTTAACTTTTGGGTTCATAATCAGTGGCACAATATACCCCGGAAAATCAAGTTCAAGTATATCATACGTAGACCAAGTTTTTTGTTACACCTTGCATCAAAAGGTTAAAAACGCCGAAAACTAAAAAATAATTTTCATACACAAAACGTAAAAATAATCGAAACATCATTGCCTTAGTAGTCCATCTGCTAATCCCTTTCAGCTGCTCACATTATACTAGCTCCTCTACATAATATAAAATATAGCTATTACATGCAAGTAATGTACCCAATACCCACTAATCCCCCAAAAAACACTTACGTGTAAAAAACGACGCCAAGTACAGGATTGCTGTGAATTCCTCTAACAAAAAGTATTGATATCATATTATTGAGGCCAAGTACATAAGTCACTACATGTTTTCCTATTATATGATCTAGCACTGGCCCATCATTTTAATTATATTTTCAATATTTCCTATAACGTTTTCGCTACTCTTCTATGTTACTACTGCTTCCCGTGTTTAATTACGATTTAATGGTGATTTAATAATTAATAAAACTGTAGGTGATTCCTTATCGAGTACTACTTGGCATGTCCGTGCCAGGAATTCCAAAGTACTTACTTTGCACGTGCTCATAGTATTCTAATACTGTATGTTTGTTATTAGGCTTTTACCGTGATTATTTTTGACAAGTTATTGTTAATATGCTTTCTATAGAAAACTGGTACTGGTTTTGTACCAAATTTATATCAAGAAATGCACGGACCCGCCAAGTAGTACTCGATAAGGAATCACCTAAAGTTTTATTAATTATTAAATCACCATTAAATCATAATTAAATACGGGAAGCAGCAGTAACATAAAAGAGTAGCGAAAACGTTATAGGAAATATTGAAAACATAATTAAAATGATGGGCCAGTACTAGATCATATAATAGGAAAACATGTAGCGACTTATGTACTTGGCCTCAATAATATGATATCAATACATTTTGTTAGAGGAATTCACAGCAATCCTGTACTTGGCGTAGTTTTTTACACGTAAGTATTTTTTGGGGGATATCACAAGTTTTTGTTGTTCAATAGGATATATGAAAAAAGTTTTAAACACTGAA